TGTGGAAGCTCTGGTTGTAGAGGTCAACTCTGTTCCTCCACCTCCACCAGTAGCTGCTCCTGGACCTCTCAGGGTGGAGCTCAGACTGGCCAATGGCCAATGTGTCACCAAAGGCTGTGCAGAAGGTAAGGTCTTGTCCTATGTCTTAAAGCCTCTCAAACTTGAGTCTGTTTAAACCCCAGTGTTCCTCAGGGGATGAGGCCTACACGTCCTACTACAGTGATTCTGATTATCCTGTAACAAAATTCCTGCGAGAGCCTGTGTATGTTGAGGTGCGCATTATGGAGAGGAGGGACCCCAACATTGTCCTGATGCTGGGACGTTGTTGGGCGACTTCAACCCCGAGTCCACTCAGTCTCCCCCAGTGGGACCTTCTGATCGATGGGTGAGTGTACAGTCGATCTTTATCCAGTTAGTCTAATGTACGCCATCCCTAATGCTTCTATACTACTGTTTAGATGCCCTTACCAGGATGACCGTTACCTGACCACACTGGTTCCAGTGACTGGATCGTCTGGTCTTCAGTTCCCAACCCACTACAAGCGCTTTGTTGTGAAGATGTTCACATTTGTAGATCCAGCCTCACTGGCTCCTCTGCAGGAAACGGTATTGTTCCCCACTTTACCAGTTTTACACTCGGCCTCTTGATGTTTTGTAATGGGTGCTTCTGCTTCTCAGATCTTCATCCACTGCAGTACAGAGGTGTGCCATCCCTCTTCCGGCTCCTGTAAGCAAAGCTGCACCAGGAGAAGTTAGTACTTGCTGTAGTGTTGTAATTTTGCTTAATCTCAAGACTAGTTGTGGGTTGTCTCACTCTTCCTTCTATCAAACTGTGCTCAAGTATTAAGAAACCACAGCTAGATCCTAGTGAACTGGCAAATTACAGACCCATTTTAAATCTTCAGTTTTTCAAAAATTTTAGAAGGTTGTCTGCTCTGTGCTCCTTCTTGCAAAAAATGATCTCTAGGAAGAATTTCAGGCCCGACCTTAGCACAGGAACTGCACTTGTTCAAATTACATTACTTGCTGCTTGTGTCCGACGAAGGCTGCATCTTATTGCTAGTTTTATTTTATCTTAGTGCTGCATTCGACACAATAGATCAGCAGTGGCGAACTCCAGTCCTGGAGAGCCGCATAGTTCAGCTCCAACCCTAATTAAAACTCACCTGCCTGTAGCTTTCTAGTAACCAGATGTGTGTTTGATTAGGGTTGAAGCAAAACTCTGCAGGGCTGCGGCTCTCCAGGACTGACTTCGCCACCCCTGCAATAGATCATGACATACTCGTAGATCGATTGCAAAACCCTATGGGTATTCAAGGTTAGGCTTTAAGATGGTTTAGATCCTACCTGTCCGATCGCTACCACTGTTTATTTAAATGGTGAGTCATCTCCATTTATCACCAGTAAAATGGAGTGCCACAAGGATTTATCCTAGGTCCACTGTTATTTTCAATATACATGTTACCCCTTGGTAATATTATTAGAAAATACGGGATAAGTTTTACTATGCTGATGGTACTCGACTATACAGTTCAACAAGACTAGATGAAACTTCTAAGATAACAGTGTTAATGTAAAGTTTGGATGACCAATAATTTTATCCTATTAAATTCAGATAAGACCGAGGTATTACTCATTGGAACAAGAGACAGTACACCGAATTTCTTGGATTACAATTTGAACTAGATGGATGTACTGTTACTTCCTCTACAGTCAAAAATATAGGGGTTATATTAGCAACTTGTCTTTTGAAAATCATATTTCCCATGTTACAAAAAATGCGTTCTTCAATCTTAGAAACCTTGCCAAGCTACGAAACATGTTACCCGTTTCTGATGCAGAAAAGCTAGTTCATGCATTCATGATCTCTAGACTGGACTATTGTAATGCACTGCTAGCTGGTTGTCCTGCATATTCAATAATCAAGCTACAGGTAGTCCAAAATGCAGCGGCTAGAGTCCTTACCAGGTCAAGAAAATATGATCATATTACTGTCTGTTTGAGTGTCTTTAATTGATTTTTTTTTTTCCATACATTTCTGCCATTACATTAACTGACAGTCACCACTGATAAGCTACCACTAAATATTGTAGGAACTTAATTTTCTGTAAAGTTGCTTTGCAACGATTTGTATCGTGAAAAGCGCTATACAAATAAACTTGAATTGAAAAGTATATAATCGTAAGTAAATCCAAGTTCTCCATGGTCCAGTGTGTTAAATATGCTTCGTAGTAGAAATTACAGGTGGCACAAACAGTGGCATGATGCTTCATGGGAAGTTTGCAGGTTGTGAGTTTATGGCCAGGTAAATGGGCCTAATTTTAAAATCTAGTGTCCAATAGCATTGCAACTGCCAGGCTAAACAATTGGACCTATTAGTTGTGTAAATGTGGTCTTCGGGGATAAAACATAAGCAGCATTATTTTAGTCAAGCTAAAACTGATGATGTAATATTACAACAGTGGGCCATACAGGGTTAATTAAGTTCGGTAGCACTTTACAATACCCGGGTGCACAAATATGCTTTAAGTAATGCTTAACTAATGCACAGATAATCATGAGTTAATGTATAACTCATGAAGAACTAAACCATTTAATAATTACTGCATGAGCAACTAATGAACATTCTAAATATATATATCAAATTGTTATTAGTTAAATGTGTCAATGTATTAATTCCCTAATAGCATATATTAACTAATGAAGTAAATTCATATGTTAATTACCACATTGGGTCGAAGCCATGCCTGTCAACTTCCAGTTGTCTGCTTTAATTAATCATTATCTAATGATTTGCAAAGGCATCATTATGTTATGACTTTATTTGTTGAGGCACAGAACTATTAACTAATTGTTAAATAATATGTCACTGTGGTTATGGATTTTGAATTAGTTAGTTAGTCATGTGCCTCAACAAGTAAAGTCTTGCAGTCAGTAATTATTAATAAATGGTTTAGTTCTTCATGAGTTATACATTAACTCATGATTATCTGTGCATTAGTTAAGCATGAATTAACGCATGTTAGTGCCACCGTATTGTAAAGTGTTACCACAAGTTCTCCAAAAGTAAGTTTATATGGTCCAGTATGTTAAATGTGCTTCAAAGTAGAAATTACAAATGACACAAACTGTGTTGGCATGTGTTCAGAGGTGTATCTTATTCTGAATTAGGGTTAATGGTTAGTGCTGCAGTAGCTTTTTTGTTGTTGTTGGTGGTGAAACTTGGCAAACTTATGCCACAATACGGCAACATTCTCGTTTCTGGAGTTTAAAAGGGAGTCAAGTGGATCACGAAGCACCTGTCAGTCATCATAGTGAAACAGCCAATGCAGTGCATGCACTGTTAACCCAGTTATGCGTCACTGCTCATGTGGTGGGACGAGCACAGAGGGTGTGCTGATTCACTGCGAACAAACAACATTGATCCCATTGCCAAAAGGGAAACGTTTCTTCAGATTTCTTTTGACACCTGTAGATTATTTTAAGCAGCTACTTGGATTATTCGAGCGCCACCTAACTGAATGGCTGTTCAGTGGTTGATGAATTAAAATGCAGTGGGCTCTGGAGAGAGTGCATGTGTGCAGTGGATGGACAGCGGCTCCGGTTCACTCTCGACATGAAGAGATTCATCCGTGTGTCGCAGCTGGCCGCGATGCTGCTCTACATTCCTCTTGTACAGGTAACTTCATGAGTTCCTTACAAGTTTACCATTGTAAACCATTGTTACTACAGTTATTCAAGTCACTGGCTTAGAAATCAATTAATGTGATGCATTAAATAGTGTAAGATGCTTTTTAAGAGTGTTCCTGTCGTTCTAATTAATGCAATTAATTGTAACTCCTCCAGTTTTATTATTGTTAGTGGTGGCTTCTTGGTTTTACTACAAATAAAACCAAAAACCATCGTTACTATAGCCTAGTTGAATCATGGTAACCCCAAATTAACCATGGTTTTGCTAGACTAACCACAGTTTAACCATGGTATTTGTAGTAAAACTGTGCTTATACAAATGGTAATCAATACACCAAAAATCATGGATACTACACTTTTACTACAATAGGTTCATTTTCGTAAAGGATGACATGTTCCTACCAATATCCAGCGACTACTAAATAGTCCCTATAGCAATAATTTTGATCAGACAATTAAATAGGCCTACATGTAACCCTTGTTGTTGTAATTTCGGCCGCATCTGAAATATTACACACCGTTGATATTACCTGAGAAGTTAAAGAAATACACTAGAAAAGTACGTCTTTGAAACCGAGCTTATCAGAACACAGCATTAGTTAAACCATGTGTCACAAAATGATTTACTGTTTCGAAGCGTTCCAATCGGACCGCGTATCAAGAATCATTTTATTCAGATCAGAACTTCAGAGCGCTTATCGCGAATATTTACAGTTCTACTAAATACCATGGTTAAACTATGGTCAGTAGTTTAGCAAAACCATGGTTAATTTGTGGTTACCATGGTGTTTTTTTTATTAACCATATAGTTACATTTCGTAAGGGATGTGTTGCCAGGTTAACAAAAAAAATAAAAATAACTTTACACCTTAAGAGGACACAAAGGATGAATATAGAGATGCAGTTTTCACTGATTTAGGATGAACAGGACTTTGGTTTTTGTTATTGTTATTGTATGTAAAAATGTAGCTAGCAAGAAACACAAATCAATATAGTTCTTATCAATATCTCGTGTGTGTGTGTGTGTCTTTGTGTGTGTGTGCGTGCGTGCGTGTGTGTGTTTCTGTGTCTGTGTGTGTGTGTGTGTGTGTGTGGGAGTGAGTCTGTGTCTGTGTGAGTGTGTGTGTATGTGTGTGTGTGAGTGTATGTGTGTGTGTGTGATTGTGTGAGTGTGTGTGTGTGTGTGTGTGTGTGATTGTGTGTGTGTGTGTGAGTGAGTGAGTGTATGTGTGTGTGTGTGTGTGATTGTGTGAGTGAATGAGTGTGTGTGAGTCTGTGTCTGTCTGTGTGTGTGTGTGTGTGTGTGTGAGTGAGTGAGTGTATGTGTGTCTGTGTGTGTGTCTGTGTGTGTGTGTTCAGTGATGCTGTTCCCCGAGGCGTGGGGCCGCAGTCAGTGTCGTTCTCTGGAATGGATGGTGGAGGTGGAGCAGGAGTATCCCGGAGGAGTGGAGCACATCTACAATCCCGGCTGTGTGCCGCTGCTGCGCTGCTCCGGATGCTGCAATGATGACAAACTGGCCTGTTTCCCCGCCAGCACACACAACATCAGCATCCAGGCACAGACACTGTCACCTCAGTCACATACGCTGCTATTCTTTACTGTGGGACACATTTATAAAGAATCTTCACACAGCTGTTTTCATTTAACAGTAGTTCATAGTGACAAACATCAACAAAAGCATCCGGGTGACTTCTGAACACACTGGAATCAGGGTTATTAACGAAAACTAAAGCTAAAACCAAAACCACAAAAAATTTGTTACATGAAATTAATAAAAAAAAACTTTGACTGAAATAAAATAAAACAAAATAAAATAAACTTATTTTATTTCAGCAAAGTTCCTTCTTTTATTTAACTTCATGCACTAAATGAACTAAAACTGAAATAAAATTAATAAAAACTATATAGACACTATTATTATTATTTACATATTTTTACTTGTGCATTTGTTGTGTTTATCACTGCAACAACAAATATATATATATATATACAGTGGGTACGGAAAGTATTCAGACCCCCTTAAATTTTTCACTCTTTATCTATCTATCTATCTATCTATCTGAGCTATGAGCTATTCCTTCATGTTTTGATGTCGAATGCTCTGTGTTTTTCATCAGCTGTTGAGGATAACTCCGGCGGAGAGGAGCAGAGAATATGTGCTGCTTTCGTTTCTGGAGCACCAGAGCTGTGAGTGCAGGTACATCGGTCACTTCACTGCTCTCACGCGCATCTTGCTGTCTATTCATTTATCTGACTCACTTTCTGTCCTTCAGGCCCAGACGACACCACCTGAGAAGTCAGCAGTGAGTACTGATTGATTGATTGATGTTTGTAAATGACAGAAGTGAAGGCTCAGAATGCTTTTCCTCAGCAGGAGGCGGCGTAAGGGCAAACGCAGGAGGAGACGGAGAAGAAGGATGGATGCCGGGGTCAGCCACACACTCACATCAGTGCATCACATTCACTCATTAGTGCTCATGTATGTCCACTGTCCAGGGACCCATGCATACACTGCTACACTCTTAAAAATCAAGGTGCTTCACGATGCCATAGAAGAACCTTTTTGTCTAAATGGTTCCATAAAGAACCTTTAACATCTGAAGAACCTTTCTGTTTCTTGCTGTCTATTCATTTATCTGACTCACTTTCTGTCCTTCAGGCCCAGACGACACCACCTGAGAAGTCAGCAGTGAGTACTGATTGATTGATTGATGTTTGTAAATGACAGAAGTGAAGGCTCAGAATGCTTTTCCTCAGCAGGAGGCGGCGTAAGGGCAAACGCAGGAGGAGACGGAGAAGAAGGATGGATGCCGGGGTCAGCCACACACTCACATCAGTGCATCACATTCACTCATTAGTGCTCATGTGTGTCCACTGTCCAGGGACCCATGCATACACTGCTACACTCTTAAAAATAAAGGTGCTTCACGATGCCATAGAAGAACCTTTTTGTCTAAATGGTTCCATAAAGAAGCTTTAACATCTGAAGAACCTTTCTGTTTCACACAGCAGGAGGCGGCGTAAGGGCAAACGCAGGAGGAGACGGAGAAGAAGGATGGATGCCGGGGTCAGCCACACACTCACATCAGTGCATCACATTCACTCATTAGTGCTCATGTATGTCCACTGTCCAGGGACCCATGCATACACTGCTACACTCTTAAAAATCAAGGTGCTTCACGATGCCGTAGAAGAACCTTTTTTTTCTAAATGGTTCCATAAAGAACCTTTAACATCTGAAGAACCTTTCTGTTTCACAAATGATTCTTTGTGGCGAAAGAAGGTTCTTCAGATTATAAAAAGGTAAGAAAGAGATGGTTCTTTAAAGAACCTTTGACTGAATGCTTCTTTGTGGAACCAAAAATGGTTCTTCTATGGCATGGCTTGAAGAACCTTTTGAAGCACCTTTATTTTTAAGAGTGTAGTCCGGAGAAGTTAGTCGTCTCATTTGACTGGTCATAACTGTTTCAAGTCAGTTACACAAAAATAGACTGGCCCATAACGGATCAGAAAAGTGACCGATATCTTGGCTAACTGCTGGTTATTCAAACTAGTTCTTAAGACACAGTCTAGTGGCTGTGTTCATGAAACTGGGCCCACGAGCTGATCTCCTTTTTTTTTACCTTATGAAGGTGTTTTGTTTTCACATACATATGTGCCATCTATTTATGTTAAATATTTTAATGAGTAAGTGAAAGTAATTCTCAGTTTAAACAGTTATGTTACACCTGTATATTCAGCTCAAATACAAAAGCAGAAAAAAATCTGCTAGAATAGATTTGAGAGCAAATGGATTTATATTCACCATAGTGTGTGTAGACATTAAAGCCCCAACTTAGTCATTTTAGTCAACTTATATATTTTTACACTCATTTATATAACTAAAATGTATTATTATTATTATGATGATGATGATCATTATTATTGTTGTTGTTGTTACTATTATTATTATTATTTATAGATTTTTAATTGTGCATATTTATATTGTATTTATATTCACAATACAGGGAGCTATAGTATCTGAAAGTCAGAAAGTCATTAAAGCTCCAATTTAGTAACTTTAATCTCTCTCTCTATATATATATATTATACCCAATTATACAAAAATATTATTATTATATTTTAATTATTATTAGTGACTAAAAACTATTCAAATTAATTAAAACTATTAATTAATAAATGTATTATTATTATTATTAATTTATATTATTAATATAATATATAATATTATTATTATTTTAATTGTGCATATTTATATTGTATTTATAATCACCACTACAGGAAGCAATAGTGTCTGTAGTGACATATTTTTATATCCATTTATATAAAAACTTATTATATTTTTTTATTATTAATCATTTTAGTCATTTACTATTTTTAATATTTATTAAAATATTTGTTAATATAGCTATTATTGTGTATTTATTATTATTAATACTGAATGTATTTATTTGTGTTTGTGTAGATGTGATGATCACAGAGTCGGTGTGGTTTATAGATGGACTGAACTGGATCACAGCGGCTCAGTAAAGCTGCTAAACTGAAGGACCCCGGCTCCATCGATGCGAAACACCTCAGTGCTGCTACAGTTATCTTTAACACTCTGGGACATTTACAATCTTCATATCCCCATATGTGTCTTAATATATTTTATAAAACCATAAACTCACAGTATTTAAAGAAATAAAACGATTTATTTGATCAGAATGGAGTGGGTGCATTTTCTGTACATGTATGCATTTATAATAATAATTAATTTATGCATTTAGCAGACGACTATTCATTTTTTCAGCAGTTTGTTTATTCACCATTTATTGACAAAAGACGACTTTAAAGTCATTTCTCAAAGTCTCCAGGTTAAGTGAAGGTCATAACACACGTGACTGGACGTGGCTTTAACGCTTGCGTCACTGACCAATGAGAGCCGAGCGTGGAAAATGACGCGCACCACTTCCGCCAGCAGACCCGCCCACATTCTCCATAAAAGGAAAACACAAACTGAATTCCGACAAGCCCCGCCTCCTGCGCCAGGATTGGCCAGTCGGAGCGGTTTAGTAGCCTCCGATTGGATAAGATCGCAAGTCACTCACGTCAAAGAATCCAACGTAAATATAGCGAGAGAATTAAACGAACGCGCTCTCAACGGACGCTTTATTTAGCCGTTAAGATCAATATTAATGCATTAACGTCTCATTATTAATGTCAAACGTCCCCCTGAGGGCGGGGCTTGCGTGAGTGACGCTACGGAACGCTCGCGGAACGCTGTTCTAACGCGTTATATCTGAGGAGGACTGCAGAAAGAGCGTTTTTATCGGTTACCGGATGAAGTCACGGTCATCGCGAGGCGCACGTAAGTCGTCTGCGTTCTCTGAATGAACGAATGTCGCTCGAATGAACGTTACGTGCTTCTGAGGGAAACTGAACGGCAGGCCTAGCCGCGTAGCTTGGGCCTGTATCGCGATGTGGCTCGTGTGAAAGCTTGACGTTTAGACACGAAACCTTTCTCTTTTTTTAATGTAACGTACTACTACGACAAGTATCGATCATCTGATGTTTGACGGGTAATGATTGATTGGCGCCGCTGGAGATTAAGCACGTAACTGACGTACCCGGTGACGTCATGACGCACGGTCCACAATAACAACACTAAGACGAACTTCTCCTTCTGAGACCCAGCTGTGTGTCCTTATGGAAATATGATGATATTTTGAAATCATCATTCGAGTGTGATTTAATTTTCAGATTGTTTGTCATGAATCAACATCTCAGGAAAATGTTATGAGGTTTCAAATCAAAGTCTTCCAAGATTTTATGCAAGACGCCAGGACTAAAAACATGTTTATTACGCATTTTGGAAGACATAACAAATGAATAGGGAAAGAAATGTTACTTTTGATGTATTTCTATGAAATATTAGATGATATTATGAAAATCCGGCCAATTATTACACTTCTTCAACAGCACATTAATATGCAAATTAGATGCAGTGTATAGATAGCACTGTGTTTAATGAGAAACCGAGTTTATGGACATTTTATACACATATTGCATAAAGCAAAATGGTACATCAGATCATTCTGGTAGATCTTTTAGTTGAGAATCATCTTTGTACAAAGTTGGGTATTAAAAAATTCTATTATTTTTCAAAAAAGTTATTTTTCCATTTTTTCTTATGCTCTAAACAATGTAAAGACGTGAAAAATACTAAATTCACAAAGCTTTTTTTTCTGGGTCTCAGGAGGATATCAGTAATAATGTGTGATCGTAACGTTTACTTGAATACTTAAGGTTTATTTGAAAATTTAAGTTTGTAGAAACAGTAGTAGGACCGCATTATTTATTTATTTATTTGTATCTTATTTATTATTTATATAATTTTTTTGTTAATAATTTGGATTTTAGTTTTAGTTATGTTAGTACGTCAAGTTAAACTACATGAAAATGAGACGTGCTGCTAGAGGAAATCAAATAAGCTATTAAAAATAATATTTTTATTAGGGATGTAACGATTCACTCAACTCACGATTCACGAATAAGAGCAAGTAGAATAAGAAACATAAGTTACCAATCAAAGGAAATCAGTATTAACAAAAGTAATTAGTAGAGGTGGCACAGAAGAACACAAAAGTGGCCTGGTGTACTTTCAGACATTTAATGAGGCTCAGAAGTGGCATGAGTGCAATTAAATCCATACGTTCATGATGATATTAATGTTTTAAATATAAAATGTTGAATATAGAAATATTAAATGATTTAAATAATCCACGAAGCTCTCTCTTAGTTACACCCCGTCTACACTTAGCTTATGAAAGGATTCGTGAGATGTCTGCGATGCATTACTCGACGCTGCAAACACACGTAGAAAGCTTTGAAGCTCCCCTGAGCGCGATCACGAGTATGATGAAGATCGGGTCAGTCGCACAGGTGCTCCTAAATATGTCATAGTCGCACGCAGTAGTTTTCTGTAGAGCCCCGCATCTAAACCTTTCTAAAGACGGCAAGTTCCCCTCAGACATGGATTCATAAACTACCCCTAAATGAATCGCGATTTGTTTAGCATCTCAACCGATTTGAATCGATTTTCAACCGGCTCGCGGTTAATCCTTACATCCCTAATTTATATAAAAATATTTATAAGAGTTAAATTTCATGTCAGGTGATGAAAGTTGTTGTTGTTTTAGTTAACTGTATCAATGCAAACATTGGCATGCCTTTAACTTAACATTAATTCAGTTTTTGTAAAGTTGTCTTCAGTATTTTTACTACAATGCCGTTTTCTTCAACACTACAGTTTTTTTACTTAAAGTTTATGCGTACTACGTTTATAGAAACATAAGTAACATGATGCATCAGCATGCTGTTTTAATAATATTGAGATTTTATTAATAATTTGAATCCGTTTTTATTATTATCATTATCATTTAAAAATATGCCAGTATAGTTTTAAAATAAATTTTAATTTATTTTAGTACTTCAAATGAAAATAAATGGAAATAAGAAATGTTTTCTCTGCAACTTTATTTTTCAGTTAAATTTATTTAATTTGATTTTTAGTTAACTGTAATAACCTTGATGCATAAGTCCTGTTTGTCTAATAATTCTTAATTAATATTTGCACTGAAAAGCTGTTTTAAAGGTGTAACTTCTGCAGAGCAGTCATGGTTCTGTCTGGTGTTTTAGGCTCGTACGGTGGAACAGGATGAGCTCGAGGCTGAAGGATGAAGGTCACATGAGAGGCATGGCCAGATTTAAAAACAAAAGGATGGGGAAGTCCAAGCCGGAGTCTGAGAGGGACTCGGGCTTCTCAGGTGTGTAGCGAGAGCTTCGGACTCTCTTCTGTAGGCACTGAAGTGTGTGAGATGATGTTCACGTGAGTGTTTCTGGCAGACGGCGGCTCGGTGGATCAGACGGACACAGACGATGCATCGCAGCTGACCGCGGTGGTGAGCGGAGCGCTGCAGGGCCTCTCGCCAATGATCTTCATGAACAATGTGCTTCTACAGCAGGTGAACTTCAGACCGTCTGCGTTTGCTTTTGTCTTCACGGGTCTTGGGCGATTTTTCCGATTAATTCCAATGTAATGCTTTGCCACGATTGTATTTTTTAGAAATCGAGGAATCACTATTTTGAATAGAAATATTACCAAACGTTAGATTTAGACACTTTGACAATATGCCGGTGATAACGGTAAAGAGAAAAGAACGATCCAACCGAGTTCAGTGAAGGACTGCGAGCAGAATATATATCACTAGACGCCATTCACACAGAATGAGCTTTTGTGTTGATAAAGATGCGACGCTGCAGTGGAATAGCAAACACATGCAAGAAGATGAAGTGAACTCCTCTTAACTTGAGCGCAGTGTTTTTAGAAAGCTGTTTCATGCAAGAGACGCTGCAAGAGACGCGAGAGCAACAGTCAAACAGTCCATGTTCACACAGAAAACACAATGGAAAAGCAGCGCAAGCGAATAATAAAACCTGTGAAGAACTGTTACTGTACGTCTGATATTTCATGTTTGCATCACGCTGTCAGACTGAAAGCTGCTGTTGTTTTACAGAACATTTAGAGTTAATAATACTCTACTGCTGTTATACCTTCAGTCGTTTTGAGTTTGAATTAACTTGACTTCTGAGATTTTTTTTAAAGCATTGTATTATTTCTGAACATATGTATAAGACAAGTTTGTACAAGATGTAGTTATAGTTCATGCATCTTTTCTGCAAAGATATTTAACAAGTGATTTGTTTAACATTGATATCTTCATGTGCGCTGCACTTGGAACAGAATTGTCTTTAACTAGAGGAAGTCACTGGAATCATGTCGTAGTTACATTTTCAAGTCGACTAGTTAAAAATCGTAAAAAATTGAGAATCGGTCAAACGTTCTGAAAATAAATCAAGATTTTAATTTCTTGCCGTATCGCCCAGCCTTAGTCTGGAGTACACATAGTATATGTAGAATGGCTCGTTTTAAATAGAAAGTAAGGACTGTATAAATCCAGAAGCTTGTGAGTTTGGCATTAGGATCAAAGTGCAACGAGGTTTATCTAACACCATGTGAAGTCATATTTGAATTATAGATTAACCAATAACTAGTGTTTAATAGTTTGTGGTCGGTGAGATTTTAGAAGTTTTTAAAGAAATATCTTTACCTGTGCTGCTCACCAAGGCTGTGTTTATTTGATCAAAAGTACTGTAAAAATTGTGAAATATTATTATAATCTAAATCAGCTGTTTTCTATGTGAATATCTGTTAAACTGTAATGTATTTCTGTGATGCGCAGCTGTATTTTCAGCATCATTCCTCCAGTCTTCAGTGTCACATGACCTTCAGAAATCAGTATAATTTGCTGATCTGCTGAAACATTTCTGATTATTATCAATGTTGAAAACAGCTGGGCTGCACGATATTTTTGTGGAAACCGTGATATTTCTTATTTTTCAGGATGAACAGAAAGTTCAAAAGAACAGCATTTATTTGAAATAAAAATCTTTTGTCACATTATAAATGTCTTTGCTGTCAATTTTAATCAATTAAATGCATGTATGTAATGTTCAATGTGTATTCTGAAGTGGTATCCATGACTTTTTTTCACTATTTAATATTGTTTTATTTTATTTTATGCATTAACGACTCAATCTTCATAATGCAGTCATGCTATTTATAATAATAACAACAACAATCTCTAACAATCTATTTTAATGCTTTATCTGCAGTCTGGTGAAAACTCTTCGTCTTTGAAACCCTGGTCCTTCAGTCCGGCGGTGGAAGTGCTTCCGCAGCCTCAAGTGGTCTTCCTTCAACCCGTCGTCCCGCAAAGATCCGCCCCGGTGCCGAAGGGACCCCTGTCTAAACGCCGTCGGCACAGAAAGTACCTCCCTATCCTCAAATCCTACCCCAAAATCGCTCCTCATCCCGGAGACACGGCGCATAAGAGCAGCAGCTCCGCTTCTAGTTCCAGCTCCTCTTCCTCGGTTAAGAGCTCGTCTTCCACTCGCGGTCAGAAAGACTCGTCTGCCAGCGTGCAATTACCCAGCGCTCTTCCAGCATCCGTCGAGTCACATGCGACCGAACGCAGACCCGAATCCACAGACGACTCCCTGTGGACGCCGGCGTTTACGGACGACAAAATAAAGCGCTTCTGCAACACTTACAACATCCTCAGCAAGTCAGGCCTGCTGGACATCACGCTGCGCACGAAAGAGTTGATCCGGCAGAACCGGCGGACGCAGACGGAGCTGGATCGCCTGCGCGAGCACACCAGCCTGTTCATGGAAGCGCTGCAGACGGGAGACTCGGCCATCTGGAGCAAGCTGCAGACAAGCGTGCAAGAGGAGGACAAAGGGAAAGACGGGACGAAGACAACCTGAAGTGAGACGAAAACACGATGCAACTTTCGTTGGCGTTTTATAAACATGCAACTTCTGACTATATCTTAAGGTCAAAACAATGCCAGAGTTGTGGAGCACTAAACCAGTCATAAATCTGAAAGCTGAATAAATAAGCTTTCCATTGATGTATGGTTTGTTAGGATAGGACAATATTTGGCTGAGATACAACTATTTGAAAATCTGGAATCTGAGGGTGCAAAAAAATCTAAATATTGAGAAAATCATCTTTAAAGTTGTTCAAATTAAGTTCTTAGCAATGCATATTACTAATCAAACATTAAGTTCTGATATTTACGGTATATAAATATGGAACATGATCTTTACTTAATATCCTAATGATTTTTGGCATAAAAGAGAAATTTATAATTTTGACCAATACAGTGTATTTTTGGTTATTGCTACAAATATACCTGTGCTGCTTAAGACTGCTTTTGTGCTCCAGGGTCACATATGGATGTGCATTCACTCTTTAATAAGCTTCAGCCTTAACCTAGTTCAGTGCATAAGCTCTTTACACTCCTGCTGTCATTTTCACCTCTTATGATTCAAAGTTTTGGATGAATGAATTTGGACTCTCAAACAGAAACATTAGTATTAGGCCTCGTTTATGAAACACGAGCAGATTTTGTGTCGGATATAGCTGAAGACCTACGGTAGATCGTATTTTGGGGCATCACAGAATGAGACGATATGCAAAAACACAGATCAAGTATGTGGCAGAGCCATTTTGTGTAATTTCTCACAGCAATTATGAATAATTACGAAAAATGGATCATTGCAGACTGTCAAAAGTAGGATCGGCTGCAGCCCTTCCCTATTCTCCAACATGACTTTGTTTTTATTTCAGTTATGTAGGTTCTTCTGCTTGAAACAAAAACGTCAGAATGAATCTAGTTTTTTAGAGAAGCACAATGTCCAGCTCATATTTTACCCCAAAATCAAAAGAAACAGAATAAGAATTTAAATCTTCCGTAAAGAGAATGTTCTGTTTTAGGACCAATAAGGCAAGACACTACAGAAGAACAGGGTAAACGTTTAAAAGTACGTTAAGACAATTGATTTGATTGAAGTTTTCTGAAATGTTGTTTATATGTATATGGGTCAAAGACGTTAAGATGTCCGCATCAAAAGAAATTTACAAAAGTGATTTTATGTCCACATAAAGCACATTAAATGTAAGTAACGTATCTACTTTTAAGGATTCAAATAAGTTTTTGGAGGATAAAATGTCAAAATTTGGTTGAAATAATGTTACATTGTCATTCAGTGTAACACAGTATTTATGTAAAAATTCAAACAACATTTATTCTGACATGTACATATTAAAATATATAAAAGAATAAGGGAGCATATTAAATTTTATTGTGTTTTAAATGAGTAAAAAATTCTTACTGACAAATAGGCAAAACCTAGGATAGTGGTAAATTGAAAAAATGTTAAATTACAACTAATTAGTATTTGGGGTGAAAATAATTAGTCTTTTAATATGTCATAAATAGAGTTTTGTTGTAAATATTCCCGACAAGATTGTTACACTGAATGACATTTTAGTGGGTGTCTTCTGTAAATCAGGGGAAAATGTATGATATTTTTTTTTTGCTCAGAAAAACAAAAACAAAATTGCAATTAAATTAAACAGAAAACTTTTTAATTTGGGGGGAAACAACAATTTAAAGCAGTGTTACACTTATTGTTTTTATGCTTAAACCCTTTTCCGTCTTTGACCCATATATGTTTTCAGCTGTTTTTAGGAATAAAACTTATTATAAAACCAGGCGAATGTTATATGAACAAACCCCTCAGTAAAAACCTTCAGAATATAGAGAGGAATCAAACTCTAAGTTTAGGCGTATGCAAGTGCTGCTGAAGTGGAGAAACAAACTAATTATGAGAAAATGGCCTAAAATTAAGAGGCGCAAATAGATAAAGTGTAAAAATAAAACCAGGTGAATGTTATATGAACAAACCCTTCAGTAAAAACCTTCAGAATATAGAGAGGAATCAAACTCTAAGTTTAAGTGTATGCAAGTGCTGCTGAAGTGGAGAAACAATCTCACAAGCTTTAAAAATATGCATTTTCGCCATGTTTTTAGGAATAAAATGCTGTATAAATGAGTGTGAATGTTATATGAACAAACCCCTCAGTAAAAACCTTCAGAATATAGAGAGGAACAAAACTCTAAGTTTTGGTGTGTGTAAGTGCTGCTGAAGTGGAGGAAAAACTTTTTAAGATATATACTTTAATTGAAATCTATAGAAAAATAGTGCGATAAACATACAAAAATTGTATTTTGTGTTTTCTTTCCACTAGTCTGAAAAAAAGCCATGTTATCCAGCAAAACGAGTGGTTTGTACAGCTAAAAATAGCTGGAAGCTAGACCCATAAAATTTACAAATGTCCGCTCCCATTTTTTAACGTGAAGAATGAGGTGGATAGAAGCAAAATAGAGCTTTAAACTGACCAGGTTTTTGCTTGTAGTGTCTTGCCTTCAGATTTAATGCGTCATTTCACTGACACTCTGCCTCCAGCTTTATTAATAAAAAATACAGTTTGCTTTCTCTTGATTTTGATTTGAAATATGACTGGCTCATGTGGGATCCATAGCTGTATTTTTGAGAACTAATAAGGTGAATTGTTTTTTTATAGCCATATTGTTTTGTTTAATTAGATCAGCGGGTCGTTTTAAGTGTGACTCCGTTTCATAGTGAGGAGTGTTGGATGAGTTCATTCAGTTTTGTTTTGGACGTGTTGAGGGTTTGCTGCGAGTCTGTCAGACAAGAACACATCGGTGATCCATTGTTTGTGTGATGATGAATAATCATGTTCTCTGCGGTTATCTTGCCTTACTCGATGAAGTTTCATTCTTCAAGCTCTGATCATGAGACGTAGGGCTCAAACTTTCTTTGGCAGCTGCTCATTACCACTAGCTCTTAAATCAGTGCTTTACTTCCAGGAGCTTGTTTTGCATGTGTAGGTGCACATATGGATTACATATTCCATGTGCTGATTTTAAGCATTAGATACAGGAGGGGTGTTTTTGTGATTCACACGCATGTGCTTTTATACAGTACAGTTGAGAGTAGAAACGGCATGTGTTTTAGGATATAGGTCTGTTTTCTAGGAAAGCTTGTTTCCACAATGGAATAAAAAAAATAGTTTTTTTTAATTCTGAGAAAAAAGTCTTGTTGTTGACTTCGAAATCAGACTTGTCTTAGAATTGCGATATGTTAAGTCAGAGCTGTGAGATGAAAATTTAGAATTGCAGTGTTAACTCGCAATTTAGAGTTTATAACCTGCAATAGAGATATAAACTCGCAGAAGAAAAGTCTGAATTGCAAGATTTTAACTTGCCGTTCTAAGAAGAAACGTATGAATTGTAATCGTGAGACATTAACTTGGAATTCTTAGAAAAGTCCGAATTCAGAAATTGTGAGTTGAGTTGCAGTTTAGAGTTTATAACTCGCATTAACTCACTTTTCTATAAAGAAATGTCTGAATTGTGAGATGTTTATAATGTTTCAGTAAAGATAGAAAATATCGCGCAAGTCTTAATTTGCAATTCTGATATGAAAAGTCAAAAATTGTAAGATAAAAAGTTGCAATTACCTTTTTATTTCTTGACTCCACGGCTTCTATAGTTTTCATGTGTTGGTGTTTCCTAACACTCATTACCTTGTGTTAATGGCAGTCCAAGCTGTTTTTGTAAAAACAAACACTTTTGTAAGCCAGCAGTTTTGATGAAGCTTTCCACGTGTGTTGCTGTCTGGTCTCTTCTGTTTACTGCAGATTTGATTCAGAGCACATTAAACATCATGAAGCAGCATAAATCATGTTTGTGAATCATTTCAAAGCTGCTAAAGACGAGCCTCTTATTCTGAACTATAATCTACTAAAACAATCAATCCATCGTCTGATTCTGGCTGAAGTGTTGCTCTTATTACTGATATTTGTTATTCCTGTCTTTTGTAAGTAAAATAATAATAATATGCCGTTTTGTGTATGAAGATGTATTTTTCTTTGCTGTTCATTAGATAATCCTCACATTTACGGTTGTGAGTACGGACGGATAGACCGCTCAGTCCTGTTCATCGGTGTGCTTTTACATTAATCCAGCATTATATTGATTTACAATCATCAGTAATACATACTGGATCTGAATAAACATTTCTCAGCTGTGCCTAAATGTTCACATTGTTCGTTTACTGATTCTTTGTTTTTTTTTTACATTGTATTTTTAATTTGAGCTTTTTTTTTTATTTCCCACTCTTTAATTTTTAAGACTGAATAATACACTGTCCAATGTTTTCATTTATGTCATAAAGTTATTAAAATAATTGTAATTGTCAAATGTGTCCCTGAATCTGCTCGGCACCATTCTGTGTC